AAAAAAAAAAAAAAGAAAAGAAAAAAGTGGGTGGACATAAATGAAAACCACGTATTCCGTGAATACGTTTTCTGTACATTTTAATTGTAAAACGTATTCACGGAATACGTTTTCCTTTATAAAAAAAAATGTAAAAAACGTATTCAGTGAATACGTTTTTTGATTAAAATATATAGAAAACGTATTCATGGAATACGTGCTTTTTATGTTGGTCCAGTACCCTCCTTTTTTGTTGTTTTTTGTCCAGTTATTATTTTTTTATTAATAAATATATAAATTGCTCTTTAAGTACGACCATAACAGCAACAAGGAAGAAAAAAGGGTAATCAGAGAATGGCAAATGGGGTCTAAAACAAAAGTCATAAACGTATGATGCCTGATCTGGAACAGCACATGTCTGCAGTCTTGAGTTTCACTATTATTGCATCAACCAAGACCGTTTCGTACAGATGCTTTGCTTGAATACCATACAAATGTGCTTTTTAAATGACCATCACATCCATAATCGTTCATTACTTGGGGATAATTTTACAAGTACAGTCCCCGCTTTTCTTCGGCAATAAAAAAAATGTAAATAAATAAAATTCATCACACGTTAACCGAAATAATATGATCTAAACCTCCAGACATCAGAATGTGATCACCTGTATGCAGTACCATATTCCCGTGCTCGTCTGCAAAGCTAAAATGTTGGCACGGGTCAACTACAAACGTAGTTTCAACAGCTTCATAAGACAATAATTGGATACGCTCAAACCCGATTAGCTGCTTTTCAGGAGAGCCTTCGAGTTTCGTAACTGCTTTTGAAAATAATAGCACCACCTCATTCCCATGGACGTCCCCATTGCTCGTCACCCCAATCTGCACTTGAAATCTCAATGAACTGCAACTTGGGACCTCATCAATATAGATATAATCGAGGGTTTTGCCTTTTATATAATACAGCATGTCCCTCCGCCGTTTAGAATAATTAAGACTCAATTTTTTGGGTGCTGATAGAAGTTTGTATGTGAAGCTCGTGTAACTTAGCCCGTATCCAAAATTATATATCGTGTCTCCAGTGTAAAACCGGTAAGTCCTTCCTAGATAGTTGCGGGTAGGGTCAGGTCGCATGTTCATGTCACTCATGGGCACGCTTGTGAACGATTCGGGGTACCAAGTCATGGGTAGTCTTCCACCTGTTTATTTATTTATTTTATTTATTTCATAGCAAAACCACTTCATATTCTAGCACACAATTCCTAGTGGGATATTTAAAAGAAACTACTATCCCCAAGATTTGGGAGTACTTGGAGAAAAAACAATTTTACCCCCAGTATAGTAAATATTGACTATTAAGGCTATGTTTGGTAAATCTAGATGATACGCTAAGTGATAGTTGATAAGCTAGCTTATAGCTTAAATGTAATTTTCGAGCTTATGACTTATAACTAAAAACCTAGTTTATATCATGAAAGTGTTTGGTAAAATTAGCTGATAAGCTAGCTGAAAAAAAAAAAAAAAAAAACTTATTTGAAAAGGTAAACTTTTGAGATAAGTTCGAGCTTTTTAAAAAAACTCGTCTACCAAACGAGGTTTATTTGAACACAGGAAGCTTATAAGCTAACCAAATAAGCTATAAGGTAGCTTATTTGCCTACCAAACATAGCCTAACTACCCCCGGTATAAACCAGTCCCCTTTAGGTAGCAAAAAATAATGGCAAATATTGCATATATACATAATTATTACCAACCTGGATTATATTGTCCTGAAATGATTTCTGCAAGGGATGTACCAGCAGTCTCCCCGGATAACCGATCCAGAGAATGCTGGCAATACGTGGGTCCCCAGCAGCGAACGATATATCGAGTGGGCCACCCCCCGTAAGAACTAATATCAATGGTTTTTTACTCACAGAAGCTAAAGCAGTAACGAGTTCCTTCTGATGGCCAGGTAAAAGAAGGCTGTATCTGTCGTGATCCTCTCTTTCTTGAGATAAATCCAAACCAACAACCACAACCACATAGTCTGCTTGTTTGGCTACAGAAATAGCTTGCGCAAAATGAACAGTTGAAGTGCAAGATACGTCCTGGCAACCCGTAGCATGATGGACATTATTGACATATTCTTTAAGTCCTTGGAAGATGCTTATTGGGTTGCATGGAACTCCTAGAAAGCAGAAAAAAGTCCGCAGTCTTTTCAAATTTTTATAAAGATAATCTAACAGAAAAGTTTGATGACCTATTCTGAGTTAGGGAAAAAAAAAACAAAGAGGAAGAACAAACAAAAAAGGTAATAGTGGGTGAAAATGCATACTTTGTATTAAAAAATAAGAATTCGTTTTATTTAACTATCATTTTTAATGATCCTGGACATACTATAAACGCCTTGTACATTGAATAAATATTTATCAGTTCTTAACAAGTGCGAGCAGGCAAAAAGTATGAATAGGTGTAAGCAGCTTTGCTAAGCATGATTGGAAAGACAAACCTGTATAGCCACCTCCCATGTCAGTTGAATTAGACGAAGGACCAATAATGGCAAGTGACGAGACAAAATGTGTATCTAAAGGCAAAAGTTTCTGCTCATTTTTCAGAAGCACAATACCCTGCCTTGCAGCTTGAAGAGCCAATTTTCTATGCTTTTCAGTGCACACGTCTTGCGGTCCCAAGTTTCTGAACGGATTACTTCCATGCAAATCATCAAAGATCCCAAGCCGAAGCTGTACAGTGAAAAGATTTAGTAATGCTCGATCAATATCCGCCTCCAACACTTTCCCCTGCTCAACTGCAGATTTCATGTGACGCAACATATACGTTCCGCAGTTTATGTCAGTCCCTGCCACAGGAAAAAAATAAATAAATAAATAAATAAATAAATAAAGATGACAAAATAAAAAAGAATTTTTTTAAAGAGAAAAAATCTAGACAAAAATGGTTAAAATCACTAAAGACCTGCTTTAATGGCGGCTGCAACTGCGTCTTCCGGAGTTTTTGTATACTTTTGGTCTTCATAAATTGTGGCAACAGCATCACAGTCCGAAGTTATGTAACTGTTTGCATAGCATTTAGGGGACATGGACATATGAGTCCTTACGTAGGGTATAAAGGCAATTGTTCTTATGTTTTCACCAGACACGCACACACACCAAAATATAGCAAGTGTAAGTTAATAACAAAATGAAAAAAAAAAGGATATTATATGATCACCCTTTGAAATTCCATTCAGTCCGAGCTTTTTGTAAGAGCTCGCGATTGGTGCATGCTGGTACTCCATTCACAGCATTGTATGAGCACATCAAGCAGCTGGCATTACCCTGCTGGATGCAACTCTTGAAAGGTGCTTGATATGTGTCTGCCATATCCTGATCCGTGACCTAATTATATATACGAATAAGTTCTGAAATTTTAATAATTCAGCTTGATATATGAACCAGTATCGTCATAATGATCTTGCCCATTAGAAAGTCGTAGAAAAAGCTTGTGTAGTTTAGAAGATATGGTTTATTGGAACAAAAATTGGACATGGTTGAGGATAGAAGTTAGTGTTTTGGAAAATAGAAGCTTAAGCTGAAATTAGTTAGAAAAGTTTTTTTATGAATCGAGTCACAAAGATGATTATTGGTTGCTAAAAAGGTCATCACATTACTCAGAAGCTTCTATAATTCTGATTGGGTTCCGCAGATTCAAATGCAGTGTCGTCATTTGGAAAGAAGCTACACCGACCTATTCTTAGTCATGGTAGACGCGCAATACTTGTGCTTTGGACCAGAGAACAGCTATTTACATAAAATCGACAATCATATCAGCATGGACTTAACAAGCACATGTCAGGCATCATTAAAGATTCAAAGTTTCATTATTACATCAAGTTTTAGCTCTCAATAATCCATCTTGGCATATGTCTACTGCACCAACTCCAGAACTAAAAACAAAATATAAGTGATCATCAAGTTGCTAAAATATCAAAGCTAAGCCTTCAAGACCAATTTTCATATCAAATTTCTCAAAATAAATAACAGGAGTAAACGAATGAATCACGAAACAAAATTAGCCCCCAAAGTTGAGGGAAGAAAAAGAACTTACCACAGCATTTTGAAGTTATATCTAGTGAACTGCCCCCATTTCTCCAAATCATATGCAGTGAAATGCTTGCAACAAGCAGATAGCATCAACCTATCATCATCTACTTCATGATCATCATCACTATCATCATTATCATCATTATCATCATCAGCAGCAGCATCTCCTAACACTCTTCTCTGCAATCCATATCCATGTCTCTCCTTCCACGAACCAACCCTACGGTACTCACCCTGAAACGCCCTAACATACTGATGTAGCGCAGTCGAACAAAAGGGAACAAAGAGATGAAATCTCCTAAACAATAATTTTATTTCACGATAAAACTGTTTTTCCTAAGAGAGAAGAAGAGAATAAATAGTCTCCAAATCCTAGTCTCCTAAACATCCTAAATAAGGGAATAATACTTAAATAAATATTAAATAAAACATGGAATATAAATAAAAGTTAGGAAATAAATAACTAGACTAAAGAAGACATCCGGTCGTATTTCTGCATAAACGCCAATGCGATCTCGTCTCCATCATCCTCCCTCGGTTGGGAAAGATTCGCCTTCGAATCCGGATCGATCTCGTCTTCGTCCGAATTATTACCCGCAAATGGCACGAGATGCTTAACATTGAACACATCAGAGCTCCGCAAGTGCGAAGGAAGCCGAAGGCGATAGACATTTGGATTGATCTTCTCAACTATCTCAACCGGGCCAATCTTACGAGCCGATAACTTGTTGTAGTCATGCGCCGAGAAACGGTCCTTGGTGAGGACAGCCCACACAAAATCCCCGACCTCGAACTCGACGTGACGGCGACGGGAATCCGCACGCCGCTTATACGCCGCCGTGACCTCCTCCAGACGCGCTCGGGCCGCTTCCTGAGTCCGCCGGAGATCGACCATGAAGTCCTCAGCACGGCGGTCTGCGCTCACAGATGAAGGAAGGGCGATGAGGTCATCGGCCCCCCGCGGTCGCGCCGCGTAGACCACCTCAAAAGGAGAGAACCCAGTAGCTCTACTCAAAGCCGAATTGTGAGCAAACTCGGCCTGGCCCAACTTCTGATCCCAACTACGCAAGTTCTCCCCCACGAGACAACGCAGCAAATTCCCGAGGGAACGATTCACGACCTCCGTCTGGCCGTCAGTTTGTGGATGGTAAGCACTACTGAAATCCAATTTCGTGTCAGCCAAGCGCCACAAACTACGCCAAAAATGGCTAAGAAAGCGCGTGTCGCGATCCGAAACAATAGAAGTGGGAAGACCATGCAAACGATACACCTCGCGAAAGAAAAATTGAGCCACATGGACGGCATCAGCCGTCCGTTTGCACGGAATGAAATGGACCATCTTCGAAAAGCGATCAACCACCACAAAGATAGAGTCGTGACCCCGCTGAGTCCGGGGCAGACCCAATACGAAGTCCATGCTAATGGCACTCCACGGACGAGAGGGAATAGGCAAAGGCCGGTAAAGCCCCGCGTTAGAAGCCACGCCCTTGGACACCTGACAAACACGACACCGGTCCACAAAGCGAGAAACATCACGACACAAAGAAGGCCAAAAAAAGGAACGACGTACCAAGGCGATGGAGCGATCACGCCCCACGTGCCCCACGCCATGCAAATCAGCCACAACCTTAAGGCGAAGGCTACAAGCAGGAACACACAACTGGACCCCACGAAACAAAAACCCATCAGAGAGCGAATAATCCTCAAAAGGGCCCGAGGAAAGGCGCGACACCACGGGCCCGAAGAAAACATCCGAAGCATAAAGATCACGCAGCAAGTCAAAACCGACAACCGCAACCCACATGTCCGTAAGCAATAACGAACGGCGGCTCAACGCATCCGCCACGCGGTTAGACGCCCCTGAACGATGCTTGAGGACGAAAGTAAACTGCTGCAAATAAGAAGTCCAAGTCGCATGGCGTGCTGAAATGTTGTCCTGAGACGAGAGATGACGCAAAGTCTCGTGGTCGGTAAAAAGAATAAACTCGCGCTGAAAGAGATAGTGGCGCCAATGTCGAACAGCACGGTAAACAGCGTAGAACTCAACATCATAGGTGCTGTAACGGAGGCGAGGTCCCGACAGTTTCTCGCTGAAGAAGGCCACTGGCCGTCCACTCTGACTAAGAACCACGCCGATGCCCACCTTGGACGCATCACAAGAAAGCTCGAAGGGAATAGAGAAGTCAGGCAGAGCCAGAACTGGAGCGGAGGTAAGCTTGCCTTTGATAAGGTCGAAAGCCGCCGCTGCCTAAGGTGTTCAAGTGAACGTCTTGCCATGGAGGCAATCCGTAATCGGTGCAGTAATGGAGCTGAAGTGAGAGATGAAACGGCGGTAGAAGGAGGCAAGCCCGTGGAAGCTGCGAGCCTCCATGAAAGAGGTCGGCGTGGGCCAGTCGCGAATGGAAGCGACCTTGCTATCATCCACCCGAATGCCGTCAGCAGAAATAAAGAATCCTAGGAAAAGAACCGAGTCGACGACGAAAGAACACTTACTGGGCGCCGCATAAAAATGCTCCGCCCGCAAAATCTGAAGAACCGAGCGAACATGAGCCACGTGGTCCTCCAAAGTCCGACTAAAGATGAGGATATCGTCGAAATAGACGACGACACAATGCCCAATGAGGTCCCGTAAAGCCTGGTTCATCACTCGCATGAAAGTACTAGGGGCATTCGAAAGACCGAATGGCATCACAAGCCACTCAAAAAGACCCTCACGAATCTTGAAAGCTGTTTTCCACTCGTCGCCCGGTCGTATGCGAATCTGATGATAGCCACTCCGGAGGTCCAATTTGGTAAAGACGGTAGCACCATGCAATTGGTCCAACAGATCATCAAGTCGGGGAATAGGAAAACGATAACGAACCGTGATTTTGTTAATGGCCCGACTATCCACACACATACGCCAGGAGTTGTCCTTCTTCGGAATGAGGAGGGCCGGGACAGCACACGGGCTCAAGCTACGCCGGACAACACCACGTTGCAAAAGGTCCTCCACCTGGCGACGTAACTCCTCATGTTCTGCCGGGCTCATGCGATAATGGGGACGATTAGGCAGAGAAGCCCCGGGGACCAAATCAATCTGGTGCTGGATGTCACGAAGAGGTGGAAGGCCTGCCGGTAACTCCGCCGGGAAAACATCCGAGAACTCATCAAGTAACGGCTGAATAACGGGGGCAGGCGACCCCTCGGTCCCAATGTCTATCCCCAGAAGCAAAAGCACAAAAGGCGAGTTCTGCATTTCACTGACGAAAGCTGCACGAGAGAGGAAAAGAACCGACGAAGAATTATCATTAGACAAAGAACGAGGAGGGGAAGGATGGAGTACCAAACGAGTGCCCTCAAACAAAAAGCTGTAAGTGTTCTGGCGCCCGTCATAGACGACCGCACGGTCGAAAGCCAAGGGCGGCCCAACAAAAGATGGCAAGCATCCATAGGGACCACGTCACACCAGACCGTGTCCCGAAACTTAGGGCCGATGGAAAATTGCACCAAAACCCGGTGATCTACTGTAATGGAATTGCCCCGCTGGATCCATGCCAACGTATAAGGATGAGGATGTGGTTCGGTGGACAGCTTAAGGCGATCGACGGCCTCTTGAGCCACCACATTCTCACACGAACCGGTGTCAATGATGAAACGACACACCTTACCACCCACCGTGCAAGTGGACTCGAAAAGATTATGGCGTTGGAGAGAGTCCTCGGGAGTGGTACGTGGCGAGAAACATGAACGACGAAGGACCAAGGCCGGGCCCACATCGCCTAATAAATGCTCCTCCAAAGGCTCGGGCTCCTCGTCAAACACCGGAGGCCCGTCATAAACAACCCCAGCAGCACCCTCACCATCAAAATCTGCCACCAAGGCCCGATAACCACCCCGACGTGGACAAGCCGAAAGCCGATGATCGGCCTCCCCGCAGGAAAAACACCGCTGGCCACCACCCGATCGCGCCACCTCCGAAGCCTGCGACAGACCAAAACCAGCCGCCTGTGAGGACGACGCACCACCTGCGGAAAAGCTGGAAGAGCCAGGTGCCCCGGTACGGCCGAGCTGCTGTCCCCCAGAAGCCGCGGGCCGCGGTGAACCCACCGCTGAGGACGCTGGCAGGTACGGGCGCGATTGAAAGCCCGCCGGCGGGACTGGCCGACCTCGCTGTTGTTGTTCGATGAGCAAAGCCCGGTGATGAGCGGCCGAAACACTCTCAGGCGCGAACATATTCAACATGTCGCGTATGCCAACCCGGAATCCGCTAACATAACGTGAAACCAATTGAGCCTGTGTGTCACGTAACTTTACGCGGTTGAGAAGACGATAAAAATCATGGGTATATTCATCGACGGACCGCGTACCCTGGCGTAAATTATGAAGTTGCTGGTACATAGTGCTCACGTAATTGAAAGGAAGAAACTCGCGCTCGATGTGCTTGCGAAACTTGGCCCAGGATTTGATCTTAGGTTTTCCCAGCTGTCGTCGGGACTCCGTGAGATGAAGCCACCACGTGATCGCACTTCCTCGAAGACGCGTGGCCACCAGACCTATGCGCTGGTCATCCGGGACTTCTTTGTAATCCAAGACGGCCTCCACCGAGCCCAACCAGTCGAGAAATTCCGCCCCGTCGAGACTCCCGGTAAATTCAGGAATATCGACCTTAAACGCTCTGATACCAACTGTTGTAAACCCTAGTAAGATATTGTCCGCTTTGGGCTACTTCCGCCACCCGCACGGCTTTGTTCTTGGCTGGGCTTCAATACACACCCACCAAAACGCGTCTTACTAGTGAAGGTATCCACATCCTCATATAAGGCCTGCTTCGTTTCCTTTCAAACCCAATGTGGGATGCGCTGCATCATCCACCCCCCCTTGTGGGCCCAGCGGTCACCGCTGGCACATGGGCTGGCTCTGATACCAACTGATGTAGCGCAGCGTCGAACAAAAGGGAACAAAGAGATGAAATCTCCTAAACAATAATTTTATTTCACGATAAAACTGTTTTTCATAAGAGAGAAGAAGAGAATAAATAGTCTCAAAATCCTAGGTCTCCTAAACATCCTAAATAAGGGAATAATACTTAATGCGATCTCGTCTCCATCACATACTCCACCGCAAAATCGGAAGCCATCATGGGATCCTCCCCCGGCGGCTCCTGCCCCCTCCCCCACCTAGGGTCTCTAAAAACATTAATGTTCGGCGCCCAGAACGTCAGCCCGGCCTGCCCCGAATTATGCATCGCCTTCGCCTCAACGGCAATCTCCGCCGCCACCGCCGACCACAGGCTCCGGTTGAAGGCGGCGGCGGTGAAGATGACCTGGGGAAATCCAGTGGCGGATCTGAAGCGCCGTTGAAGGAAACGCCTGGGCCATTGGTGGCGATTCCGTGGAGAGATTCCGACCACCATTCGTATGGCGGGATGCCGAGCCGTGGGACGGCGGAGGCGTTGTCCGAGAGCTGGCTGATTTTATCGTCGAGTGTGAGGAGGGAGATTAGGGATTGAGCTCGGGCTTTCAGGGGGAGTGAAGTATTGCAGAAAGCGTAGGAGTCATGGTGGGGCGGGCGGCATGGTGGTTGTGGTGGGGGTTTGCTGACATGGTAGCGGCCATGGCCATGGCCATGGGAGGTAGTGATTGATTGGATGAAGAGCAAATAGAAAAGGATGACTATTGTAGGTTGAGCTAACATTTGTGTTACTGAAACGTTTTCTAGTAATATTTAATTTTGAAAATATATACATAGTGATGGTTCAATTATACTTCCCCACCATTGTACAACATAAATTGTGAGAATTTTTTTTTCAAAACTAGTGTGTGGCACGCGAAAAAAAAAAAACTATTACGATTCTAATATTGTTGTAAAATGAAGTTCTCAATATTCACCAAACATCCATCAATCCAAGCATAAAAGAAGTACAGTAAAAGAACGAGAAAAGAGAAGCAGAAAAGTTTATATTTTAAAACGTTCGTCGTTCGGCAATTTTCAGTGTAATCGCGTAAACTGAATTTAATCTGGTTTGATTCGTATTAGAACCATTTGCGTTGTCTTCTCGGAACCTTGGAAAGAAACCTAGGAGTTGATATTCTGAGCCCTCGTTTAATTTATCTCTTGATTAAAGGTATGGCTCCGTTTAATTAATCCAATTAGTTGAATTATTTATTATTTTCTTGTCGTTGGTAAACCGCTCACTTTCGTTGCCCGATGCAAGTTCGTTTGTCGTTATAATTTATATTTGTTTGTCCATCGTCGATCTTTTTCGCCGCTCGTCGTATCGTGTGGAATTCTGGTTCAATCGCGTGGATTATTGCGAGCCTTTTTGTTTGTCATTCTTACCTTGGACTCGGCTAAATTCTTATCACATTTTTCATGATATTTTATGATTTTTAAATTTGGCCATTTTCTTGAGATTTGGGAACCATCTCTTGGAAAGCAATTTCAAAATTTTGAAGTTAGGAATTCAAATGGGAGCTCTTAATTTCATCCCTAATGACCCGTATTATTAAGAGTATTGTGCCCATCATGTTATCAGAAAATGGCATAATTGACCTTCAATCATGCTAAAATAATTCCCTTACCTTACGTCCCAAACACACACCTTAGTAGAAAATTTATTCCTCTGGCCCTCTGATATCATGGCAGGATCACACAAATTCAATATCCAAACACCACAATATACTACAACTACCCAATAGTTACATCTACTCAGTTACATCCAAAGTTTCTTGTCTCGACCAAAAATCATAGACTCAACCAGAAGTTTAAACTCTCGGTTTTCAACAACTTTCAGGGTGGGCCCGAGCACAATCAGATATCGTTCATGCGGAAAGATTAGCCGAATATGTCGTTGCTCGACCCAAGCCAACGAGTTTGAGAGTTGTCCGAGCCAGACCATCACCTCTATCAACCGTCGAGGCCTGCAAACAACCGTGTAACAACAATCGAGACCTGGCGGGCAAACAGCCATCGAGGAAGTTGTTCGAGGCCAGATCCGAGTAAGCTAACTCCTAACTGTATTCGACTAGACAAAATGTCGTCCATGATTTGCACCTTGTCGAGATTTACTTGTCGTGATTCGCGAGCACAACCTTAGTCGTCCGTCGTCGAGCCACCACTAGCCCTCTTCCCGTTGGTGTCCTCGAACATCTTCGACAGGCCATTCGCGAACGACCAGCACTGAGGAGATCGCAAGCTGGGAGCAGCTGCGCCCAAGGCTGCCATCTCCGCCTTCAATTCAAAGCTCGACGTCAGTCGCCCGTCTCTAGATTCTGAGGTTGCCGATTGCGTCCGTCGATTGTCAATTTAATGTAGACGTGGCCCGATTAGATCGGTTTCCCTCTATTCTCGTTGCCAAATTTGACCGGCCACCGCCTCTGTCTGTCCAAGTCACGTACTGTGCGGACCGCTGACAACCCCGTTGTCAGAAGCCCTACGCAGATTCCAGAAGAAAAGATTGAAATTTGGAAATTTACTACTGGGAGAATTTTGGAGTTCGGGTATTGTAGAATAATGGAATTTGGGATATGTGGAGAAGGAAGAAAAGTGACGAGTAAGAAGAAAAAGGAGAGAAGGAGAAGAGGAAAGAAAAGGAGAAAAAGAAAAATAAAAGAAAATGAGAAAAAGGGTTTGGGCATTAGCATTTTATTTTGGCTTTGGTGAATTTGGGCTTAGATTTTGAGCTACAAGTTTTTGCTCTTAATAGAGTGTTAGTTTGAGCCGAGTTCACCATCGAGCGCCCCCAAGTCGCCTTCTCGCTCTGTTTTCTCGTCTCCCCTTCAGAGTATGGTAGTGGGTGGCTTACTTGGACCTATTTTTTTATATGTATATGTGATCATTGGGCTGTCTTTGATGATTTTATATGATTGAGTAATTAAGTGTTTATATAAATATCTCGTATTTTGGTTGTCTCTTCGGTTTAATGTTGAAATCGAAGGACATGTGTGAAATTCATGGAGATCTTGCAGTTATAAGTACTTTGGGGTGTCCTTTGGCCTGTTGGTGAAAGCCTTGTGTCGTTTTGATGTATATATATTGAGATATGGATTTTTTAAGTCGAGCATGCTGTTGTATCTTGTTAAATTCATGAAAAATCGAATTTTGTGGCAAATAATGTGAAATTTTGAAATGTGTGCTCTCTAATATTTAGGTTCATGTGGTAAAAATATCAGGTCAAAGTTCGATATTTAACTTGGTCAAATGGCGATTTTGATTTCTGGCATGTTTCTTGCAAAACTTATATAAATCATATACTTGCTGAAATGAGCTGAAATTTTAAATGTTGGTGTTCTCTGGGTGTTTATCATTGTGTCCAAATTTCATGGCTAAATTCAAATCCTAGCTATGTGAACTCGTAAAATTAGATTTTGAGCATGTTTTTGCAAAAATTATTTATCTGAGTTAGGGTGATTTTAGAGGTCAATCTTTTGTGAAAATGTGCTTTTTGTGTCATCTGTTATGTGTGAAAATTTGAGATAAAAACTCCAAGCCAAACTCCCGAAACCTCAGTAAATATTATTTTGCATCCCCGACAGCACCCAACCAAAGCCCCATTTTGACTTTTTTCCGACCTGTTTGACTTCTCTTTGACCCGTTATCTTGTTTTACATGTCGAATATTTCTTAAATGATTTTAAGTGGTTTTTCGAGTCTAGTGGTCTACCCCAAAGGTTCCAAACTTTGCTAAAGGACCCACGAATCACTTAGTCGATAATTTTCGGCTAAGTGAATGTGTTGTAATTGGCTTTAAGTGTAGGAATAGTTGTTGACCAGACTATTCTTGATGAATGTAGGCATTTGACGAGTCGTGCTTTTATCCTATCAGTTTTTATGTGCTATCTACTGCTTCGTAATCCAGGTGGGTTGATTTTATGAATATCTATGTCGTGAATTGTTGATGTTATATGTATGGTATGATCAATATATGTATGTGAACCATGTAGCCTTCGATGTGAGCTGTACCGACCGTCAAACGGTTACCCCTGTAGCTATAGAACGGACCCCGTTGGGGTAATCTCCTCTTTATGCCCGTAAGACCAAGGCAGGGCGTTGGCCGGAGATATAAATCCTGTCATAAGAACAAGGCAGGGGCCTTGGCCGTCGGAGGGGATACTCCTGTTGTTTGGGCATTGTTGTAAGACAAAGGCAAGGGCCTTGGCATTCGATACGTGGACCAATAGTGGTCTTTTGATTAGATGTACACCCGAGGCTATTTATGACTTTGGATTGGAGATGAGATAGTAAATTGATTCGTATACATGCTGCGACCATACATGTCCTATATTATTTGTTATTTATGTGCATAGTGGTGAGCAAGTTGATATTTGTAGGTTAAACATGTGCGGGCACGGTGAGGCGAAGTGAGTCGTGGTCGATCTAGATG